AAATCGGTTTTTATCTAGGTTTACGCGGGCAGTTAAAACAAACTTAAGGGGGACCCGTAGGGGGAATAGGCAATGATGTCCTTGGTTCGTGCGAACACTTAAATCGCGTCCATAAAATTAGATGGGAAAAAAAAACGGTGACCAGCATAAATATAACATTTATTTTTTTTTTCACATTTCGTTTCGAAGTAATAATGAATTTACACGGTCTTTGCACACGTTGCTGCTCACAATGGGCGAGCGCGCGAAGAACGTGTTGGAACAATTACCATTTATTCATTAGGCCTCGGCCGGTCGTACGGATCGGCCACAGAGGGGACGCGGGGTGTCGGCGACCGCGACAGCAGCACACAACGACAGTTTTTATTATATTTTATTTCTCCTGCAACAACGGCTCGTTTAAACGCTGAACAAACCATACTCGTTGCACACGTGATATTATTATACACTACACACTATAGTAGTACATGCATATACGGTAGTTTATATATATATTTATATATATACATACACACACACATAATAAACATACGACTCTACGAGCATGTATAGGTATGTTGGTGTACACCGCGCGTGCATGCACATACACACGCGCGTTTACGTTTATCGTGAAATAGTTGTGGAAATTCCGTTCGACCTCGGGTATTCATATATTAATAGAACCGAATTTCATGTACAACAATCCCAATGACGACGCTCGAAACCAATAAATAACGTTCCAATTATAATTCCGGCAGCGAAGAATTTTTTTTCTCTTCCAACAACCAAAGAATAAAATAATTATTGAAGTACACAATTGTTAACCTACAAAACGAAAAATCGAAAATACTTTACATCGCGCAACAACCTGTGTAACGGAGTTATAATATTAAGTTATTATGTTCACCAAGTGTTCGATTACATGATGTTAGTTGTAATTTTTTATAAATTTCAATATTATTATTTAAGGTATCAATAGCCGCAAGAATAGGGTTGCCATCCGTCCCGATCCATCAGGATCGTCACCGTTATTGAGCTATACATGCCGACGTCCCGAAAAAAACTAAAATGTCCCGATTGAAATTGTTCATTCTAAATTTCGCACATTTTGCTTTTAGTTTACGAATATATCCGACCGAAAATGAAAAATTATGTTTTTAAACTTCTATGACTAAACGTAACAGTGTTTTCGTTAATGACGACCCAGTGGACTGATTAATGAGATCGCATACTCCCAGAAACTATGGAGTCAATTTTACAAAGTCAAGTTAATTATTACATGACTTGCGCAAAGTTATACAAATATTTTAAAAGGAACAAGCTATTGAAAAAAGCAAAATCTTCTGAAAGTATGGCTATTCGAGTACTCTGTAATTAATTATAAATATTTTTTTTTAATGTAACCTAAATTAATAAACAAAGTTTATCTAAAAAAAAAAAGTTATAATTTTTATTACGAAATTAGAGTGTTTTATACACTCCAACCTAGAATTATTAGAATGTTCCGACGAGATCCTAGTAGTTAAATATAGTAACCCTACGCAAGAAACAAAATTTCACCGAATTATTAACAAAATTTAAATTATTACGGTAAAATTATGATTTGGATGAAGTTGACACTTCTACAACGTAAATGGTAAATGGTAAAATAAATATAATCCGATGTTATCACTTAGTCGAAAAAATATTTAATTTATAATAAATCTAAAAATGTATACGTAACACAAAAATGGAATATAATAATTAGTTTTTGTTATTTATAATCATATTATTAGATAAATATATATATATACTTCAAAACTAATACAACGAACATCGATAAATGGTAAAGAAATTAACTTAGGTGTTTATGTAATTTGATTCGTAATGTATAATAAAAGTATTAAGATGACAAATTACAAATGAATTTTTTGTAGAAATGTCACGTATTATTTGATTACTATTTTACTCGCAGCACAAATATATAATCAAATAGAATTACAAGAATGTATTTAAAATTTTTAAAAAGCCATTTTCAAAATACAGTATTTAAGAGTTTAAAAATGAAATAATTATTTTTTCGACTTTTAAAGCAGTCTTCAACTGCAGTTGTCTACTTTGTATATTATAACAACGATGAGAAATAAACCAGAGCGATTTTATAATAACCAGTTGAGTGTAAAAAAAAACAATTAAACCAGGAATAATTATGTAGAGTAGAGTAAAATAAATATATTTGACCAAACATTAAATATATTTTTGTTTTTGTTACAGGCCCTAATCAGGCACGGTTGTCCTCCGATCACTCATAAACGCGCATACTAGTGAATTGTCCAAACACCGATAGCATAAGAACGAGTCTCGATAAAGAGGTTATTTTTACACAAAAAAATATTTCGTCATTTAAAGAGTAAAAATATTGTATACTGGTCCTAAATACTTATGAATTTTGAAGAAAAAAAATGGTTGATTATAAATTTTTGAAAATAAATTCGAAAAACCAATTAAATCTTATAGAAAAAAAAATAGAATCACTTCGACGTTTACTTGGGTTATTTACATCAAAAACCAGGAGATGATAGTTGACCTCAATAAAATAATATCGTTAGCAAAATTATGACGAAAATCTGTAAATCAGTACTACTCTTTATAGTTTTGTGAGCGTGCATAGTAATTGTTTTGCTATAGTAGGTGTTTCATCAGATTTGCTGATGATATAATTTTTTTTCTTTCTTACTTTCTGAGAACTGGTGAGTTACGATAATATATGTATTCGGGTTTATTTCTTCTTTCGACCCAGAGAAACACGAATTTGACGTCGATGCGATTTTTGAAAATTTCCAGAGAAGGAGGTAGACGACCGGAATATGATGGGATAATATATGCAATACAGCATGGGTAATAAACGTCAGGTGTCGTGCAACATATAATTTACAGTCCGAGTGCATGGCAGGTTTTATTTTTCTAACGTTGTACAACAGTACAGACTAATACGTTTTTAGAATGTTACGCAGAAATTATTCTTAAGTTGTAAATACATTTTTGAAGGGAAACTTTCAACAATCTCTTAAAATTTGAAATTATATCAATATTGTAACTTTAATTGTTATTTTGTTTCATTTACGTACGAATATAAAAGTATTGATTGAAAAAAAAAACAAATTAGAAATGATAAATACAATATAATATTTATAAACTGCTAAAATTACACATAATAGGTCCGAACTATTTAAATAATTTTATCGTATTATTAGAACAATTATAATCCCAAAGAAAAAATATAATAGCATAATATACTTCATTCTCATCCAACATAATTAAAATTCAATTCTTAATTTAAAATTCTTTAAATGTTAATGTTTACGAAACAGATTCAAACTCTTTAAAAGAACATTACCAAATTTATATACTAAAACGTAAAATGTTTACGGAGATATAAATCCATGGTAAAATATAGAGATGATTAGTTCGATGTGGCAATTGAATACGTAAAAATTGTAATATGAATAACGAAGGTGTATAAATGATGAAAATTTAACATTCACGTACTCATGTACTCTTGGGTGATAATTAATTGGATGATTTGAAAATATAAGATAATATCAATAATCCCAGAACGTTGAATATTTTTATTTATTTTTTATTTATTTTTTTTTATAACTAATTGAGGTCAGCAATTTAAAAACACAAATATTGTATTTTTTTCCTACTCCACGCATTTAACTACGATAATGATGGCAATATTTAAAACAATCAACCAATTAATAAAGTCCATAATATTATCAGACCGTTCTCTATAATGGGCCATGAACGTAGTAACAATATTTCAGTTATGAAATAATAGCCGAACGAGATTAATTATTTAGTTCAAGTAAAATTAGACAGAAGTCCAATATATGACTAAGAAAAAATAGCAGTTACAGCGAGAAAAGTTGTATGCCAATTACCGGGGAACGAATACGAAACCATCACAAACAGACCGGCATACAGAAACCAGCACGTAGTTAATGAGGACGTATGATTTCAAACATTATTTATTTATTTTTATGACTTTTATCTTTTATTGATACATAATAGGCCCGAAGAGACAAATCGTGGACAAATCGTACGAACGATTCTAGTCGATGCTAAATATAAACATATTTTAGGACATTCCGCTGCCGCCGCCGAGTCGTCTGGTGAACACGATGTATACCTACGACGATACGCGCGCACACGGGGCGGCTAGGCCAACGACCGCGGTTATCTTATACACGGTGGTTTTAATAATAAAACGCAATAAATGTATAAATAAAAATGAAAGTAATTAGATGAAATATCTTACATATATCAATATAATTGCTACCCATATAAGGGGGTGACGAGGAACCGATTTTTACACATAGGACACCGGGTCTGGTGTCCGACACGCGCGTGCGTTATTCTGGCAAAACATTATTGCGCCCAACGTACTAGACCGGTCGATCGAAAAGGATGAGGGTGGTACTCGTAGTATTACGCAAAGAAATGAGACCCCCACACGCTATTTCAGTTACGCTCGATCGGAAAACCGTACGATTTGGATAGCGCGTCTCTATCTCCGTGTAAACACGGTTGGAGCGATATAATTGACACTGCGAAGGTGCGACAATGAGTGGAATTATCGGGAGTACCGTAGACGAGACGTATAGGTCAGCGATTGCTGCGTGGAGATCTTGCCGTGGCGATGACCCGCGCACCGTGCTCACGTACACGCGTGGCCCACACGATAATCGACGGCCGTCGACGACTAGTCGTCACCGACCGAAACTGATACAAGTACGCGTGAAGGCCCTTAACCCCGAACCTGATAACTAACGTCGATTACGGTGTGCGATTACACACTATTTCTTGTTGGTCTGCTCAACCAGTGAACCCGTGGATACCGGGGATTCCTACGGAATACCACACGTGGATAAGGCACGAGTGACGGAGCGGGGGAGGGGAATAATCATATTTAATGGGAATAATTACATTACGAGTGGTGGGCAGAGTAGATCGGAAAAACATAAAAAAAAGCTTACCCCGAGATGCTGGAACCGCTGTTGTTATGGTGAATAACGTTAGTGGCACCCGGGTGGTAAACGACGCTGTGATGGTTCTGCGACAGATGCTGGGTTAACTGTTGTTCGGCGGTGGTCGCGGACGACGGCGTGTACGAGTGATCGGCCACGTGAGGCTGCTGTAACACGACAGTAGGTGATCCACCCCCGGAGCCCTGTTGGTCATCTTGCAGGTGACCCTGCATGGGCGACACGCTGCCCGAGTCGCTGTGTAACGAGGCCACTAGGTGAACGAAAGGGTTGGACTGCACAGTGACGGTTCCATCGTCCGCGCGAGACATGTGCAAGTCCAGTAATTCGCCGCCCTTAGCGGCCACCACCTCCTCGTCATATGCGCCGGCCGAGCTGCCCGGACTGGAGCAATGGTCCTGCTGCTGATGCTGCAACTGCAACTGCGGTTGGTGTTCCTGGTGAAAGTACTCGTCCGTATACACGTGCGGCTCTTGCTTCAACACAATGTGTTCGAACTTGGCCTGCTGCTGCTGTTGCTGCTGGTACACCTGCTGGTACTCGTAGAAATCTTCTTCATCATCACGTTGCTGCTGGTGTTGCTGCTGGAGCTGATCCGTGGTTAGGGTCTGTGGGAAAATCGAGGCGATCAAGTCCCGACTATTGCCGTACTTGGATTGCTGATAATTCTGTGCCACTATCATGTCGTAACGGTTAATAATTGTCGACGGTCCGTTATTAGTAGTATTATTGTTGCCGGCGCTGTTGCTGCCACTGCTGTTACTGTTGCTACTGCTGACTGCGACGTTTTGCTGCGACGGACTGGTTCGCTGCTGCTGCTGCTGCTGCTGGTGGTGATGTTGATGATAGTTCATATCATCACGGTGCTCGTACACGTTGCCAGTCGGCCGTTCGTCTGTCGTACCGTGAACCTGTTGTTGCTGTAAACGGTCGACGACAGCCGGCTCCTCCTCCTCCGCACCGAACGACGTCCTACCGACCGGCGCACCATCTACCGCCGGCGACCCGTAGCCGATGCTGGGCGTGCCCGCGATGCCGCCGCCATTTTCTTCGTTCGCCACTGACGCTACATCGGCCGCGCCGTCGCCGCAACAATGCTGCGACGCCGCGATCGTCTCAACGACGGGCGACGGCTCGTCGTCTGGATCGGCGGCCACCACCGTATTGTTTATGTCGCCACGACGGCTGTTCAGCTCGTCTATGGTGTCCGCCGCTGCTCTGTCTTCCTCGGCTGACGTGTCAAACTCACCACCACCCCCGGAATCTCTTCCACCGCCACCGATAACGACCACATGATGGTGGTGGTGTTCCAACAACGATTCTTCTCCTGTCGTTGCCGGCAAACCTATATTAACACAAAACAAGCAAGGTTAAAAGAATATAACGGTTTCGATCTTCAAAAAATCAATCCCGAATCTCGTACTCCTATTATGCGCAGTAGAAAAGTGATTAAATATTTAGTTGAAATTGTAACGCCTTACTCTTTGTACACAACACTAAAAAAAATATATTAAATGTATAATAATATAGAAAGAGAACTAAACTAGTATAATAGTTTAGAGAGAATTATTTCAATGATAAACCATTATATTTAATTAGATATTTAGTATCGTATTTTAATCAAACTTTTAAACTTAAAAAAATCCCTCCTCCTATAAAAATATTTTTTTTAGTTGCTATTGAAAAATGTATAAGAGGTCTCACTCAAAATTTAATTTGCACACCGGTCTCGAAGTAATCTTGTAATTACGGTACTGAATATAATCATTGATTGAAGAATCATCAATAAATCATCAGAATATCAACACTAATCAACACTTCAAATAAAATGTTAAAAACTATGTTTGTGTGGGTGTGTAGTGCGTATACAATATACGTACAATAAAAAGGAGAATATTCACTTGTGTATAAGTTTCCATCTCACTAGTCACAAAGGTATTAAAAAGAAGGATTTGTAAAATTTGCTAACTATTAATTTTAATTATTTATGTTACGTCACGAAAAAGATATAACAGACAAACTTCGTCAGACCCAGACGACAATATCAGTATAATTTATAGACATTGAGGTGCTATACTGATAAAAACATTTCGTTTGTATTCCTAATCACGTGCACCGATAGATATTTTGACGATTATTATTATATCACTTTTTTTCTTTTCCGCTTCAAAGTAAGGCTACTGTGTAGTAATCACAACTAGTACAAGATTAAAATAATTAAATATTTTGTTTTGTTGACTTTTTTCAAAGTTATTAAAACTGGACAAATAGTAAAAAGCTTGAATTAAGTCGACGAGAAAACTTAAATTATAATCTACATAGAATACTTATGTTTCGATTCCTTTCTGTCAAAACTAAATATTTGAACACAATCAGTGCATTTTTAAACTAGTTAACTAGGCGATACAAATGCCGCCCGGTGATTATACTCTGGCGACAATATTTTGAAAGATTGGGCGAAATAATGCGAAACAAACGTGTAATACTATAATCGTACTCTGGTATTACATTGACTATTTTGAGAAAAACATTTTTTGTCGCCCAGTGAAAATTTCTTATAAAATGCACTAAACACAATATCAATCAAATTAAAACATCGAAAATCCAAAGAGTAATATTATTAAAATCGACTTACGGATATAAAGATAATTTTTTTTTTTTATAAAGTTTCTAATTATAACTTACTGAACAAGTAATATAAACAAGAATCAATACACATTTTGTTGTAATTAATTTTAAATGACGAATCAAAATAATTTGATCACTATAATAATACTTTTACTTACATATAAAATTATTGATTTAATATACGAAAATTGAATAATTTACTGTTTTATTATTTGTAAAAAAGAAAAAAATTGTGCAATAAAAATTATCATATGTAAAATTATCAATAGTATAAAAAATGTTATAACTAGAGACCTAATTTCTATATTTTTACATATTTTTACTAAGAGTATGCAACTCCTATTGATTAAACTTTCTCGACGGTTTATTTTCTATCAATTGATGTACGAAAATTTGTAGAGTATAAAAAAGCATATTTCAAGGTTAAAGAATGTATTGTGCAAAATAATATGTTTCAGGAATACATTGCCACATTGAGGTTTAATTTTAATAAAATATTTTATTAAAAATGTAATGGTTTATAAAAAAAACGCAAAAATGATTTTAACCTCCGTCAGTCTCTTTCCTTTTCAAGACAAAATATGCAAAGCAATATTGATAGGAACATAACATTGGTAAGAATATTAATTTTTCTGTGATTAGTGATGAGATATACAAATAAAAATATCACTGATATCCATAAACCTTATACCACGGATTAAGATTTTAATTCGTGCCTTATACTAATAGACTTTTGTACACGTACAACGATTATAGATAAAAAGATATTCTTTATGTATGACTTGTGACTGCACGATTATTATTGTAATATCGTAGGTAGTTTATTATAAACAGGGTTTGCAGTTTTAAATATGTTGTTGATAGACATTTGATTTAAACATGTTTAAACAATTGAAATTAAAAATGTATTAAACAAAATGTTTAATACAAATTGTTTAAAAAATGTTTTTTACATTACCTATATGTTAAAAATGTTTTTCAATAAATTCTTTTAAAACTTAAAAAAATACCACATATTATTATTCAAATTTAATTTGTGTTCGGTTTTGTAAATAAGTAATAACAACTAATTATATTAATTTATATTGGTAGTAAGTTATAATTCAAATTTATAAAAACGTCAATTTTATAGCGTGTTCTATTTTATACACATTAGCTATCTACCATATTTTCCCTTCGGTCTGAAGAGGATAGACAAATATTTAACTACAAGTAATTGTCAACATTCCAAATTACTATAGTACTTTAATTACTTAATTTATTACTAATTTAAATTATATGTATGCGTTTGTTTAAATGCCCTCGATATCCCAAACTATGACCAGCTTCAAAAATAAATATTGCAACATAATAACATACATTATTTTTGTTCTATGTGCCATTTCCCATTGTCATTTAAAAGTAATTTATGACAATTCTTTTCTTATTTTATAATGTTTAAATATTTAAAACAATTGAAAAAAAAACAGAAAAATGATTTTGTTTAAAATTAAAAAAACTGTTTTTTTCCGAACCCTGATTATAAATGCTCTAATACGGGTACATGTTTAAACTTAAATATTTAAGTGTTCGTTTAAGTGTACTATTTTTTGATACTTATATACCAGCAGTTATTTTTTATTTTTATTATTTAAAACATGTTATTTATATTATTTTTAAATAAATCTGAAATTCAAGTGTTATTTGACTATGTGGTAACCCATGTAAAATATAAAAACCAATATACACCAGTACATCACCATAATATAGATTAAATATGACTGTTTGAATATTTTTTTAAAGGTTAGGATTAATTCAACTATATGTATTATAATTCCTTTAATAAAGGAAAAATTTATAATTGTTCTAAATTGTTACTCTTATTTTTTTCAGTATTTAATATATTTTTATGAAAAATAATTTTTTCCGAAAAAAAAATATTTATACATACAATAGATTATTTTAATGAAATTATAAATCATAACATCTTTTTTTTAAGATTTTAAACTCATATCCGGTCAAATCCGGTCTCTAGTTATAACTTAATAATTATAATATATTGTTGGTTAATATATTATGGCTATATAATGTAAGCAAATAACATCAGATAGTCTGATAACTATACTAAACATTTATAAATCATATAAGAAAGAAATATTTAATCTCTACATTTAAATATAAATATTTGTGTTAGTTGGTTACAAATTAATTTCGATACTTTGGGTTAAACGGACGATTCAAAGTAACTAAAGCACTACACTAACTATAGTAATTTTTTTAAATATTGTATTTAATTTCTTTCAAATCATATTTATGAATTAACTATTTACTTTAATACCTACACCAACTTTTAATTTTTACTTAAATAAATCAGAATTATTTATAAAGACTACATGTATATAGATATATAGTTGGTAAATTAAAATGGACTTAGTTCTATTTGTAATTTACTAAACTGTTGTACCAATAGGCTATATAAATATTTCTATATTTTATAATGTACCAGTTAAAATTTAAAAAATTATTAACTTAGTTACGAATTATTATTTTTGTTTATGAGTATAAAATAAGGATAGTTGTAAATAAGTATATATTTAAATATTTCATTGTAAAAATCTCTAATTTCAAGACTTTCAAGAATTTTATTTAAATGATCGCATTCACAATCAAGAATATATAAATAAATACACCATAAAAATACTCGTATAATACTTTGTAAAATGGATACTAAATTACCAAATTTAAAAGGCAAATAATGCAAATTTAAAAAAATATATATAACTATAAATAATAATGCGTTTCAATCATTGAAATGCCCCTTTTATTTATACTCCATATCGGGTAGATTTAATTGATACTATACCAACATAATTTAATTTAATTTTAACTCATTAATTATTAATGAGAAAAAAAATCAGCGCAAATAACATATGTATTATTAATTTACTTTAATTTTATAGAATTTATAGTTCTATTTATATGGAATTACGTAATCAAATAGTAATGAAGATGTTTAATATATCATTACCTCAAGTCATTCGATTAACATAATTGGATTTTAATGAATTACCACAAGTATTATATCTCATTGGGAACAAAAAATTAGATAAGTATCAATGTTTCGTTTATTGTGCTTTTCAGTTTCGATGATATATAAACAATAAATTATATAAAAAAAAGTAAATATAAATTGTATATTGGGATGATTATATTTCCTGGACTTAATAATCTCGGATAAAACTCTACCCTGCACGATAACCTTTTTTTTTCATATTATGGATCTGAACATTTGTAAGGTCAAGTTGTCTATGTTATAGTGGGTCTGGCATACATGTGATAAGGATGTGCATTTCCTAATCATCGAGGGAGGTCTATATCTAGAGTTCAAGAAGGAATAAAGAATTTTTCCCTCGTCAAAACTAGAGTCAAATTACAACACTAACTAAAAATTCGACGTATCAATATTTATAGGCAATAAATAATATTTATTTTGTTTACGAAAAATATTCAAATTATACACAATTGATTTACTTTGGTGACCCCTGAGATATTTGATAACACTCGCGGCTTTCAATACAGTCAGTAAAGTCATAATAGTATATTCATATAGTACAGTAGTGCAGCATGTCCTTCGACATTACCTGAGAGGTGGCGTAAGTCTTTTAGTCACAATAACGTCTCTTCGGGGACAATTTGTTTGCCAGCGTTATAAAAATGAAGAAAAAACTAAGCCAAAAT